GTCTACCTAAACCCCCTTTATATTGAGGAGTGGAGTTTGGTTACATCTGGCCGGTATCACGTAATGGTCTAATCTACCTAAACCTCTGTTTATGTTGAGGAGTGGAGTTTGGTTACATCTGGCCGGTACCGCGTAATGGTATAATCTAAATAACCCAAGTTTTCAACCATACCATACGGGCAAACTCGGCTAACCCTAACCCTCCAAAAAGGACAAAAAAAGGGACTACCACAACAAAATTCTAACTTATGCCGGTCTCTACCGGAGCGACTAAAGTAGCAACTAAGCCATATTTTGTAGTTTAGTCCATAGTTTAGTCTCTTGGGGTGGTGTCTACCCAAGCGACTAAACGTCATACGGACTAAAGCCTTTAGTCAAAATGTTGGTTCACCGACTAAAGGAAGGCTGGTTAGTCGGTGAGTGAATGTACCAACTAAAGCCTCTTTAAGAACAGCAAATAAATCCAACAGAAAACAATATAACTGCATGCCACCGAGCTGGATAACAAAATCAGCCTCATTGCACAGCCTCACTATCAGAGCATCGCGACAGAGCTGATAGAGTAGAGGTGCAAATGATCGAATGAATGATAGTAGAGGTGCAAATGATCGAACGATCGAATGATAGTAGAGGTGCAAATGATCGAATGAATGATAGTAGAGGTGCAAACGATCGTTCGACGATCGAATGATAGTAGAGGTGCAAACGATCGAATGAATGATAGTAGAGGTGCAAACGATCGAACGATCCAATCATAGTAGAGGTGCAAACGATCGAAAGATCCAATCATAGTAGAGGTGCAAACGACAGAGGAGAGGTGCATCGCAATGGTGTGTTTTGAGTCTTGTTATCTCAAAAAAGTAATCACTTCTTTTAAGTCTTTGTTTGAGTCCTTTAAATCCACCATGCTGATAGAATATTGGTAGCCCACCAAGTGATCACTTTTGTTAAATGTTTTTTGAGTCCTTTAAGTCCAGTACTGTTCCCATGAATTGTTTAGTCAATTTGTTTAGTCGGCTGGGTAGACAGGTTGAAATGACAAAAAAATTGACTAAATTGTTTAGTTCGAGATTTAGTCATCTGCTGGTAGACAACACCATTATTACTAAAGGATAATGACTAAATCTTGGTATATCGGCGGCGCGAGCGTCCCCGGCCGGCCAGAAGCCATTCGAGCTGGGATATGGGGCCCAGTGAGAGTACAAAAGCAAAACAATGTAAATAACAAATTCGACTCACCAGGAGCTAAAAAAGTAAACTAACAAATAACGAAAGGCAATGAGGTGAGAGGCGCATATGGAATTTGCGTACAACCAGTGCAGGGATGGATCAAGCTTGTAGCCCTCCTCAACATCTATATGAGCGGGAAGTCAGTAGCTGCCTTGGTTGTAGAGTAGTGCGCGTAAAACAATAAGGTGCTTTCTGGTACTGTAGAAAATTGTATGGGCATCTAACTGCTGTTTGGAAGGCCTCAAAAAGAGTGGAATAAAGGTGCTGCTAGAACGTCGCAGCTGCAAGGCTTGGTGCCAAACCGATTGAGAGTTAAGCAGATGTATACCTACTCCAGCTATCTGTAGCTGCTCAAGCTGGGGGGTGAACTGTGTATTGCAAATATCCAATTGCAAAACGTTGTTTTTGTTGACTGTTGGCAGTCGTTATTTTACTGTTGTACTGGGACTTTAAATAAATTTTTTCTAAAATAAAAATGCAAAAATGAATTCATTTTAATGTAAAAATATGATGTTTTTGACATTTTTACCAAACATATTTATATAGCTACATTGCACGACAACATCACGCGACTCTATTACAAAATTTATTGATAATTCTAACACATAAGAACATAGCTCTAACACATCAGATCACAGCTCTGACCCACAAAATATAGTTCTAATCGTGAAAATGTAGCTCTATTGCGCGAAAAATGTAACTCTAATGCAATGATGTATACTTCTATCATCCAAAATATAGCTTGGCAGCTAAATTGCATGGCATAATACAGACAAAGTTCCACGTATGACACGACAATAAATGCATTTCACATGACAACAAAAAGCTAACATACATTGGAATAGTTCTGTGACGCGTCTCACCAGCACAGAAATCTTACACAGTTCTAATATGTTACAACAACAAATCTAAAACACATGATAATGTAGTCCTAACACACAAACGCCAAAATGTAGTAGACTCTTTAACGTACCAAACTGACTCAGAAACTCTGACAGCATGCGAAAATGTAGTTCTATTACACTCCTTGACACCAAAGCCAAATTGCACAATGATATAGTACTTCCAAAGCTAAAACGCGCGAAAGTCTAGCTCTCTCACTCGTGTAATATCATAACAAAGATAATGTATTTCACATGATAATAAAGCTACTAAAACACACGAGAATAGTTCTCTCACATGTGTACTAGAAGAGACTCACTAGAATACAACAACAAAGCTAAAATACTCATCAGAATGTATTAGTCAAAACTGACATGCGAGAGCGGCACTCTAATACTACACAAGGAAGCTACTCTAAAAACCAACATGTAGCTCTGTCATGATATAGACACAACTAAAACGCGAGAAAAAGTATTTTTTCATGCATCTAATACACAGCATATGAGAAAGTAGCTCTGCAACGCGTGTGTGTGACATTTAGAAAGAGAACTGAAATTTGCATAAAGACAATCTAAAATGCACAAGAATATAATTCTAACATGCAAGAAGAATGTAGCTGTAACACACGAAAATGTAAGACATAGCTCTAATGCGCGAAAACAAGCAAAAATTCAGCTCTAACACACAAAAGTCTAGCTCTAATATGAAAAATGTAATTCTATCACGCGACATTGAAGTCGGTTTGCATTACATAATACGAGCAATCTAAAATATGCAAGAATATAGCTCTTGCTCTTGCACAAGTGTGATACGACAACCAATGTATTTCACAAGACAATAAAGCAAAAATACGCGACGAGAATATATTTCTCTTACGTGTGTGCCAAAAAGAGATCTCGCTGACATAGAAGTTTTGCTTAACAACAAAGTTGAAATATGCGAGTATTCAAAAACATAAGAGTCGAGCTGTAACAAGCAAGAATCTAACTCAAACACGCGAAAATCTAACTCAAACGCGCGAGAATCTAGCTCAAACACGCGAGAATCTAGCTCAAACACACGAGAATCTAGCTCTCATACATAAGAATGTAGCTACCTGTATTATGCGATAATGAGCTGCATGACATACGAATACAACTATATTACGCGAAATTTAAGATAACTTTGCAATTCCAAATGACATCAAAATTACATTCGTGATAAAGTTACGCTGTGTGGCTAATTAGCAACATTACGCGAAATTTTGCACGAAATTTTGCACGACATTTTGCACGACATTTTTGCACGACATTTTGCACGACATTTTTGCACGACATTTTTGCATGCATTTTGACGCGACATTTTGACGCGACATTTTGACGCGACATTTTGACGCGACATTTTGACGCGACATTTTGACACGACATTCTTTTTTACACGACATTCATTTTTGCACGACATTTTTGCACGACATTTTTGCATGCATTTTTACGCGACATTTTATGCGACATTTTTACACGACATTTTTACACGACATTTTTGCACGACGTTTTTGCACAACGTTTAAAAGAATACTCACAATGATGTATTTCATTAATTTAACTAGACAACTTAGCCAGTGGGTATTGGGGTCCCCTTTGGGGTATACCCACTGGCGACATGAATGATTTTAATAGATCATTAAGTTGTTTTTGGGTTTCTCAATTAAGAATGTTTAAAAATTGAGCAAAATTCAAGTATTTATCCTTTTTATTTTAGATTTATTTTAATATTTCTGAATATTAGTTTGTAGAAAAACTTGTGTATATAACAGAAAAATATTTTAATATTACATAAATTAGTTGTATTGTTATAATCTATTTATTTTATATATTTATATATTTTGTTACTTTTACTAGTTTAATTAGTTTTATTGCCAATAATTACTGAATCATTGTTAAAAACAGATAACTTGCAGCTGTTTTCTGAAGCCATACTTTAGATTATAGGAATTGCATTTGAGTCTGACATTGTTTTGGATTCGGGCACTGTTAAAATAGACAATGATTGTAGCAGAGCTAGTAGCAGTGCTGATGATGGCAGCAACGAGGATGGGTCAATCACGAGGTGACCCATGTCCCTTAACTTCATATGTTGAATTTTATTAATATTTCCCTGGCTGGTGGAGTCAAATCTCTCTGCTGTTATCAGTTTAGGGCACCCGGTAGCAGCACAGTTGACAAGTGGTCAGCCAAATTGATTCTATTCAAAAATTGTTTATATGCATACGGTACGTGTTCCCTGTTTTCTTGTGTTTGTATGCATACGGTACGTGTTCCCTGTTTTCTTGTGTTCCCGCGCGTCCTTGAAGATTTATGACTTACCACTCAGCTTCCGGAAAATACTAGTAAAAGCGCGGAACCTCGACCGTGCGTACCGCTCATCAACCAAAACCAAAACCAAAACCAAAAGCGCAAACAAAAGCGAAACCTCGTTTGTGGACTTGGGAAAGGGAAATAATAGAACAACACTGCGAAAGAAGCAAACAATTTCATGTCAACAATGTCCGAGTCGCCTGAGCAAACTGCAGCATTCCTCCCAACAGAGAGCCAAGAGGGTACTGAAGAATCCCCAAGTTTCCACAAGAAGCTATTGAAGGCATCCATTTGGTTGATCGTTTTGGGCGCTGTGGCAGTACTGGCGAATGTCTTGGACATTGAAGAGACCTCATCCAACATATCGAGTCTTATGAACAAAAGCTCTACTACAAAGGATTCGATCAAAAAGAAAAAGCATTATTATGCAAACACACAAAAGAAGAATTCCACCCAAAAACTTCCATTTACAAATACTAGTACCCCACCGGCAACTCCTGAGGTTCCGACTGCTGAAAATCCAGCTACCCTGGATGCCACCAATCCACCAGCGACTCCCAATCCTACTAATCCACCAGCCACGCCACAGCCAACAGAGCCAGTTCCTCCACCTCCAGCACCCCAAACAGCAGAGCCTGCAGAGTGCGAAAAGTTACCAGCACCAGCCGATGGTACTTGTGCAGCAGCAAACCCTTCTATTCTTGACAATGGGATGAAAGATTCATTTGCTGGCTGGTATTCTTTGAATAATGATGATTGTTGTCAAGATTACTGCCGTTGGGTTGGCAATAGTCGTTCAGGAGGAGACCCCAAGCAACAAATCACGTTTAAGGAATCCTTTTGGTCTTGCCGACCAGCAGGGTACACCTCCTGTACCTATTTTGAGAACTTTGGTGGTGGTACAACGTTCAATGCTGTCAAGTGTGAAGGCCAGGGTAAAAAGGCTCAACCTACACTAGCACCCGCCGGACCAACTATGTGGATCCATGTAGTGCATTGGGCCGAGGGTATGGCTGCCTGGAGGGTTGCGTTGGAGCAAATGCTGCAGGTTGCCAAAGCTGTGAATGGGATTTTTGTAGAGCCATGCGTCCAAGCTGCCAGGTTGGAGTCTTGTGCTTCCTTTGGTGGTGAAGGCAAAGGTGTCAGGCTTGGCAGCATGGTGGATTTGGACGAACTCAAAAGATTCCATCCACACATTGTTTCGTACGATGACTTTGTCCGTGAAACAAGTTACAACTTTGCCCAACCACAAGGTCCACAAATCCATTTCGCCTGCTTGGACAAGACCAAACGGTGTGAAGAACGTGGTATCAAGATCAATTCCAGCTACAAATCGCAGAGTCAGCCATCGCTGGAAGCGGCATATCAAGCCAGCTTCAATGGAATGGTCATTTGGGAAGTTGTAAAGTATCGAAAATTTGCCTTTAATGGACTGCAGATAAACGGACAGCCTGTGAGTGTCGGTTCTCCAACTATTCGATTCCCACCCGCACAATACGCAAAGGTGGAAGAAATGCTGGAGACGTCATTGGGCATTGCCAGAGGATCGCGATGGGCCGCCATTCAATGGAGACCGGAAATTGATCCAATGGACTACACAAAGTGCGCAGAAGCCATTTTGTGGACACGGGATCTCGTCAGCCATCGTGACAATATTCCCGAAAGCAATTTTGTCCTCATATCTCCCCTGAGTAACAACAAAGGTTTGCAATGGGGTGGAGTCAAGAAAATGGCCGACAGAAATAGTAATACATCCTATCCTGCACTGGACATGCTACTGAATGCCGGAATCAAAAAGTTGGAGCAATCCTTTGATCAGGTCTACGACGGAGGGTTGCTTGCCGTTTGGGATTTTATCATGGCCGAAACTGCCACAGTCTTATCAACATGTTCTGGTTGCAAAAGAGGCACTTGTACCCGATGCAACTATCAAGGTGCATCGGCAGGTTATGTTCTTGGCCTCCGCAAAACTTATCAAAAACGACATCCCGAATCCAAGAGCGCCACAGATCAGTGTTGGCCAGTATGAGGCGCTGGAATGGTATGGAGCGGAAAACAAAGTCAACGAGAGTAATCTGCATGAGGAAGTACAAATCAAAAAAGTTCAAGTAATAATTTTGTGCATTTGGATGTCTACTGGCATCGTCAGGTCGAATCGAGTTGTCTTGTCTATACATAGCTAAACTTATGTACACGCATCGGATTCGGGAGGCCATGTGGCTCTCCAGAGGCTAACTACGGCAGGTAGCTACCAATCCAATGGCGCTCATCATTGCGTCCTTCCGTTTGTGGGCCGAAGCATGGCCTGATAACCGGATCACTGCTGACCAAAGTGACAGTCCAGAAAGAAGCCGCAATCAAGTGGCCACCGTTTTAGCACGTCTTGCTGATCGCAAATGCAGAGTGCAGAATTGAGTGCTACAAAGTTGCTTGCGGTTGTCCCAAAATTCAGATTCCTCCTCATAATCTCGTCTCTAACTCTGCCACCTTCTCCCGCAGAGAAGTTAGTTCCGCCAGCAGCATCTGCGAGTTTTGGTAACTCGCTTGGATCTCTGCAGAATCAATTAGTGATTTGTGATTGCTGACTTTGAGCAATGTTCTTTGACGGAAAGTGATATTGGTGGCGGTGGCAGAGGCAATGGCTTGAAGAAACTGTCCCAAACCACGAACCGTGGCACCAATATCAAGAAGAATTCCTGCCACTCCAATTCCACCTTCTGGAACAATCGTGGAAATGAGTTCTCCCACAGCATAGATAATTTCACCAGCCGTTTGAGTATTCTGGCTTGCAGTTTGATAAACAACAATCTGGTCATTGAGTTGATCAACGAGAGCTCCAATCGCCCCACGGTCGTTCAAGTCTCCACTCAAATATGACTCGACTCCTTTAGCTTGAAAGACTTTTAAGAAACCACCCTTGTATACGTCTTTGGGATCCAGAGATGGGTAGTTGGGAATCGCACCGGGAGTGTGTATGGCATCCGACGTTATCGTCAACTGGCGGTGTCCTCGCAGATTGCTGCCTGCCATTAAAGCACGCCCCCCCTCGTCGCCATCCTTGGGACAAATCACATTAATATCAGCCGGGCTGTCAAACAAGTGATAGAGTACACCCATGGCGATGGAATCTAGGGCTTCAGGACTCATGAGAAAGGAGGAAACCTTCTTGCGAGACACTGCTGATCCGGTGTTTGCTTCTGCTTCTTGGGTGATGCATTGAAATACTCTTCGTCCCTCGGCAATCTCGGTGACGGCATCCCCCGTTACAAATCTTGCAAGATTACCAAACACAGGACTCAATGCCGCATTACTTCGAAGGCGGGATAGTACAATGTCTTCCGTCGGTGTAAGGGTAGGATCCTTGGTTGCCTTTCCTTCCTTCTTGGGTTTGTTGCTGTCACTATCGCCTAAGAGATTGTCTACCATTTCTTCCAGAAAGTCTACCAACTCTCCAGAAGCAGCTGGAATACTGGCTAAGACGACAACCAACAGCAACGGAGTGAAATAGACGAACCTCATGGTGTTGTTGATCGAGGTGACCCAATCTGTTGCTTTAAAAGAAGAAAAAATAATGAGCCTCGCAGCGTTGGAGCCAAAAAAGGTGACTCGACTCCCGCAGAAAAACAACTTGAGGGACTGAGTTGTCTCCCAAGTCTTGTGCTTGGAAAATGGTACCGGTAAACGCCAAAGATAATCGCACACATCCCCGCTCCTCCAGAGGCAAAACTTGGTTCCGATGCGTCCCAATCGTGCGAACCTCCTGGAGCTCTCGGTTCAACCAAGACTGGTACTACCAGTAGCCAGCTAAGAGCCTTGGAGAACATGGTAATTTGGATCCAACCAAATGTACCGGTGCCCAAGAGCCACAACACCACTTTCCACTTGCCCTCCCCTCGCCCTCTAGTAAACCCTCATTTTTCCACTTGCCACCTCGATACAACACCATGACAGAGCCCAAAGTGATTTGGTTTCCTGCATTTGAGGAGGCGCTTCCTTCGTTAGAGGGGAAAACGGTTGCCATTACAGGATGCACACAAGGCATTGGTTTGATTGTTGCCAAATCCTGTGTGAAGAAGGGCGCCGAGAATGTGCTGTTGCTCAATCGAAGCTCGGAGCGCGCGACCAAGGCAGAAGAGGAAATCAAGGCATTCAATGCCAATAATGAAGGAGGCAAAAAGACCAACGTAGAGACCATTCCCTGTGATTTGCAAGACTTTGCTTCCGTCCGGGAAGCCATTGCGTCCATCTGTGCCAAATATGACGCTTTGGATGTTTTGTGCAATAATGCTGGCATTGCTCTTGTTCCGGACAAGGCGACTAAGGATGGATACTGTGTCCAGATGCAGACCAACCATTTGTCTCATTTCCTGCTGGTCAAGGATTTGTTCCCATTGCTGCAAAAGGCAACCGAACTCCGGGGTGAAGCCAGAATCGTTCATCACACTTCCGGAGCGCGCCGCAATGCAGGAACCAAGCCTGACTCGCCTGGTCTGGAAGCTCCCTTTTTGGAAAAGAATGGAGGCAATCTGGGTGGAGACTCTCCTGGGTGGTCCGGTGCCATGGCTAAACGATACCAGCAGTCCAAATTGGCCAATAGCGCCTTTTCCGTTGCTCTCGCAAAAAAATTGGAAGGGACCAACGTCAAGGCTGTCCTCGCGGCTCCCGGAATCACGTCCACTGGAATGTGGGGGCACGCCCTGTCCAAAACCCAGCAGGCATCGTTTGGAGACCGTATCATGAATGCCATTATGGCTCGGCTAGTCCAGAGTGGTCCCGATGGAGCCATGCCGATACTCCGTGCCTGCTTTGATCCTGCCACGGAAAACGGAGACTTTTTTGAGCCGGAAAAGTGGAGTAATGCCTATGGGCCAGCCATCAAGGTAGAATACGACGAGAAGACAGCGAATCCTGAAAATGCCACTCTTTTGTGGGGCAAGTCGGAAGAGGCAGTGGGCAAATTCGATATCTAGATACACGTGGTTGGAGCCGGCCAAGGGATGCAGCACCCCAGAGGTTGGTTGACGTACATGACATGTAAACAGCCCTACTACATCTATTAATACTTATCATTCAATGTGTTTCGGACTTTTCGAATCAGACCACTCCGATCGTCGCTCCGTACCGGTAGTAAGGGTACTGTAGCTGTTGCTACATGTATTTTGAAACACTTTGTGGATGTTGTGAAAGCTGGATTTAGCCAAGGCTTAACTCGCTACAGGTACTGTGGACGGTGAGTGTTCTATGACGAGTTGCTCCTGTGCTCTTCGTTGACAGGCTGCGAAATGCTTCAAGCTTATTGATTTGGTAGCAATTCCATCTCACACTGCCAGCTTTCTCTGCCACCAAACTTGTCACTCTGCTAATGCTAGCTAGCTAGCTAGCTAGCTAGCTAGCTAGCTAGCTAGTAACTGGTATCTACTTGCTGGGCAATGCAATTCCTGCAGCTTCCAGTGCAGGTCGCAAGGTTCCTTGGAATGCCATGGTTTGAATTCCTGGTGCCTTGTCCGAGACACCACCATCGAATCCTCCCACATACTCTCCACCAATAAAAATCATCGGCACCGATGTCCGTCCCAGTCTCTTTCCTAGTTCGGCTCGAATGGGATTGCCCTTGTCCCAGGGATCATCCAACCGCACCGTTTTGACTTGGTTGGAAATTCCCATGGATGCAAACGCGTCTACGGCCTTGACACAAGAAGGCGATCGTTCCCACGTGAACATGACGCAAGGAGATTGTAGAATTTCTTGATCAATCGTGGCATTCACGGCGTCGGCATCATACTCTCCAGCCAAGACATTGGCCAGAATTTGCTTCCCGCCTTCGCCCTTGGATTGGGATTCTTGGACGATGCGGAGACTGGTCTGTAGCTTTTCTTGGAGCTCCTCCAGAAACGTCTTGTCCTGTGCGATGGCTAGATTGGACGGGGCTGTTGGTGGTTGTGGAGGTGGTGGAGTAGAGTTGGGTTCCGATTCTGATTCGGAGGCTTCACTTTTACTGCTGCTGCTGCTGCTCTCCTCTGTGGCCCCGAGTTGACTCGATGCAGATTTGGTTGGAGGACGTTTGGCAGCCTCAATCGACGTAAAAGCCAACGAATCGGAGGAGAGACGGTGGGAAGCCATCAAATTCTTAGATACAAAGGCGCCATGGCATTTTCCGGCAATCACAGCCAGGATAAGGACACTCGCTTGCAGTTTGGAGACCATGATGATTGTTTTTTATGCCGTTGTTCGTTGTTTCACGTAAGTTGTTGGGTTTTGGATACCGGTAGGCAGGAGAGAAGAAAGATCCGAAAAGTATCTTTGGTGTCAGTGAATGACGTCATAAAACACGAAGTTGGGGCATCGTGTTCCCACGAGCCCGGCTGCTTCATGTGCCTCAATTTCATTGGTCTGGATTGGTGACGTGGATTGGAGATGATGCACAAAGATCAAACCTGAAACAACCCAACAATGCTACGACTGCAACCAGCGACAGCATCAGCAACCCTGCAACCGCCCAACAAACGCAACACCCAACAAACCACAAAACAGCCAGCATCCAACCATCATATCGAGCTAGCTAGCTACAGTATCACTTCACTAGTCGGAACTATGTGGTCCTTGGACGAGTACTGCCAGACGGAATTGTTGCGACAACGAGTGGAGGATTGGTCGCAGTTGCCTGAAGCCAGTCGAACATTTTTGCAATCCCTCCAACTTCCCACCATTCATCCCTTTTGCCAAGCGACCAAGCTGGATGAGTTTCAAGTGGATGGAATCCCTCCCATGGGACCAATGCTCAAGGAGGATTTTCATCATCACATGGGAGATGTTATTGTCACGCTGTTGTATCGAGTGTTACCGGCCTTGATGGCCATGGGGGAATTGTGGTTGCGGCTGTTTGCCTCGGTCATTGCTCCCCTGGGCATTGTCTATCTGCTCTACTTTGAAATACCAGAGGCAGTTCGTTGGACCAGAACCACCACAAATGATAATAAGGCTGTCGGAACTTCCAAATTCTTTTCTGCCGGCATTCTCTTGATGGTGGCCTCTTCTGTGGTACTCTTGACGGATACCTTATACATTTTGGAATTCGGGCCTCACTATGGATTGGTCATCTTTGTGGTATCCGCAGTTCTGGCAGCCAGAGCATGCAAGAGACACCAACTCGGACACACCCTGCAGGGATTGCTCTTGTTGAAGTTATTGACTTTTTTCTTGATTTACGAACCCTCTATGGGAAATATTTTCTTTGGCGATCGTGTCCAAGCAGTCCAAAATGTCACAGAAGGACTCTACTATCACCCACAAAACCAATTTATCCAATATGTGGTCGATGCCTGGCCTGTGGAAAAACGAACATACTCTCCGGAATTAGGTGCCACAGTTTGGATGCCCACGGGAGATTCTCGCACAGGATTGCCCTTTATCCTCAACAAAGACCTACCAGCACCGGCCTATCGTCGACTCTGGCTCGAGACGCACGATCACGAATATGTGGCATTGGATATTGCTCTCCCTGAGAAAGGGCATAGTGACAAAAAGCCATTGTATTTGGTCTTGCATGGATTGAATGGTGGCAGTGAAGAGGACTATGTCAAGGAATTTGCCCATCGTCGAATTGCCGAGGGTTCTACCATTGTCATTATGGTGGCTCGTGGATTGATGGATCTGCCCATCAAGGGATGGGATCTTTTTCATGGGGCTCGTGTCGATGATGTTCATACGACGGCAAAGTTCCTACAATCCTTTACTGCCCAGAAACAACAAACCTTGGCGGCTGTGGGGTACAGTATGGGTGCCATTATTCTGAGTAATTATGTGGCCCGCAGTGGCAATGACTGTGCCCTGGATGCGGCTGTGGCTGTTAGTGGTGGATTGGATATGCGATTCGAACATCATTTCTATCGCGCCCAACGATTGTGGCAACCCATGTTGGCACAGGAATTGCGGGATAACTTTTTGGTCCAGAAATGGGGTGAACGCATTCGTGCTCGTTTGTCGTTGGAGGACCTGAAGCAATCCATGCGGGCCTATCATGTGACGGTAAGATGGTGCATTTTCCCCATTTTTATTGGTTGATTGCATTCTGATTCATTTCTGACATTGACACCCTTCGGTTCGTCAGGAAATTGATCAGCATGCTGTTGCACCGTACAACGGATATGACAATGTGACTCATTATTACAGTGAAATGAGTGCCATGGGAGATATCCCACTGGACGCCTATCAGAATGAAGCATCCTTACCGGAGAACGCTCGAATTCATAACGTTGCCATTCCCTTTTGCGTGGTCCATGCATTGGATGATCCCTTGGTCACATGGCGCACAGTTGGAGCCAACACAGGTTTGATGCATCCATCCACCTTGACTTCCCAAATCAGATCTGGCAATCTACTTTTACTGTTGACCAAGGCCGGTGGACACGTGGGTTGGCCACTTGGATGGCTTCCGACAATTCGAAAATGGGAGTGGATGAACGATGCTGCATCTACATTTGTCGAGGCTGTGCATCAAGTATCGCAACAACACACCAACAATCGACAATGTGTCAATAGTGGCGATGGCAAGTGTTCTAGTGGGGCTGGAAACGATGCTGAAGAGGATGTGGACACTGCCACTGCTGATGAGGCTTCACCTGGCAGCGACACAGAAGAGACCGCGACAGAGTCTGATACTGAAGGAGGGCCCGGCACTTCACAACCAAACGTCGATGAGATTGAAAGTACGGATACCGATGCTCAAGACGAGGAGGATGAAATTACTCCTGAAACGAGTCAGACCAGTGATGAAGGAAGCTCCGATTTGGGGGCAACTGACCAGGATGAGCCAAATAACTAATGATCAGGGGCACAAAGACGAACCGTCGGTGAGGCCCACCGAACAGGTTGAGGTAGATGATCAAGTGGTGGAACCAACCAACCTTCAGAACCGGTTGAGACTGTTGAGAGCAATGTCCACCAAGAGGAGGACGCATTATAGATAGATATTGTATATAGCATCGCCTTCTTTCTCTGGCGACACCCCTGGTTCGGTGAAAGTCAATGCACTTGGGTCTCGGGAGCCCTTGACAAATTGGCAAGCTCCAATGTACACAGAGAAAACTTTTAATTTATGTTTCCGGTGCACGCTCCGTCCCTCTACGACTAATGGGCTGCACATGAACAAGAGAGAGGACGGAACAAACGATAGGAACTACAGTCGTTTTACATGTTTAAGCTGATATCAACGACAAGTGAGGCGATGCGCCAAGCTCAGCAGAAGACGACATATTGCCGGAGAGGTTTGTGGGCCAATTTCGAAGCCGCTTGACCGTCGCGTTGGTACGGTGTGGGCATTTCTCGATTCAGCAATACTGGCTAGCTAGTAGCCTGCTGGAGAATCACATTTGTTGGAACCGACCTGGATCGTGATCCAGACTGGCATTGGCGACTCGAGGCTCAAGAAAAAATTTCAGATTTGGGGAGAGACACACTGGTTATGGCGACGAGCTCACCGTGTGGTTGGGAGCAACACCCTCGACTGTCACTTCTACATGTGAAGAGTACGAGAGCTAGGCTGCTAGTAGCTGGAGCCGTCGATCCACAAATCTTTTCTCTGGTGGGAACTACCGCATACAGACATACAGACGCAGGGATGCAGCCAAAGTTAAATTTTTGGTGTCTTGATTGACTATTTCCTGGATGGTTCCGTAGCCACCGGCGCTCTGCTTGGATTGATGTGCCCCAGCACCTGAATTCTGTATGGCATGTGCTATCGTAGTTGCGTTCAGGAAATCGAAGAGTGTAGCGGGTGTTGATTATTCCCAACAAATACCAAAGTATTAGTAGCGGAAGGAATTTAGGTTGGGTACCATTCCGAGCCCAGCTGGACGGAAATTATGGTCGTCTCATCTTGTGAACCGATCACTTCGTGGGGTGGTAAGAGTGGGAATTTTAAAAAATGCTGGGAATCATCCTTCAGGAATGCCTTCTCTCTATCTCTGTTTCTCTAAGATCTGAGGTCAACAAATAATACCCTGAGATCCAACCTTGATGATTCTGGGTATGATAGCTTCCTTAAACAACTATACTCCCAATAGCGACTCGAGTACCATTTGGATCAATTCATGTCGTTCCTTGCGATCGGTCCGTGGTAGATCCCAGTGTCCCAATTCGTCGGTCCTCTTTCGAAAGGGCAACAAGGTCATGGATCGATTCCGTTCCATATATCCATGATCAATCAATGCCACGACACCCTTTCGATGCTGCAATGGAAATGTCAATTCTCGAATGACTTGTTCTTCGTCTCCGTAGCTCGCATAGTCTTGAAAGTAGGACACCTTGTAGACCACCTTGCCGTCTTCCACGGGAGCCGTCACGCGAATGCTGGGTTCCTGTCGTTGCCCCACCACTCGCAGTTCCAAATACGATGGGCTATTCGGGAGTTTGACATAATCCATAATGCGATGGGCAATGTCATCGCGACTGTTTCTCCTGAGAGTACTACTGTTGCGTGGGTGGCTCATGGTGTAAGGTCTGGTGGGATGCAAGCTTCTAAAACCGGCAAGGAGGTGTCCACAACGTTGTCCTACATGTGGAGTTCGGGAAAGTAAAAGCCGAGCTCGGGGGAACTTTTAAAAGCGGAGCTCTGGGGGATTTAAGCCGAGCTCTTGGAGACTTAAGCCGAGCTCGGGGGAACTTGAGCTGGCGAAAGAGTATTAATAGGGTTAACGATTGAATCAATCATCATACAGAACTTCTTCGAAGTTCCCAACGGTGTCAAGTTCTCATTTCTTCCGCCAAACATCATCCACCCAAAACCTCAACTTGAATATCCTCCATCACTGTTGTATTTCCAATGTTGATGATCCAGAACTCCCAATGCCTACTAGTACATCGCGCTCCCTTCCTTCCATTATGCGAGGCGTGTTCCTTTTAGTAATAATACTCTCACTCCTTTTCCCCTCTACAGCCGCCATGTCTTTGACTCCACCACCCACAACGAAATCGACGGCAGCTTCCACGGGCATTTTGCGGGTTTGTGGTCCCGACGCCAACGGTATTGTCGCCGCCTTTGCCCAACTCCTCTATGGACATGGCTGTGGCATTATCGATTCCGAAAATCACGCCGATCACGAAGCCATTCTCTTTTTTGAACGCATCCATTTTGATTACAGTCAAATGAAGACGGATCGTCATACCCTTCAAAATGGCATTGAAGAAGTCTGCCAACGATTTTCCATGCAAGCACCACAACTCGATTGGGGGGACAAGCGCAAGAAACTATGTGTCATGGTCAGCAAGTACGATCACTGTCTGTGGGAATTGCTACTCCGTCATCGAGCGGGGGAGTTGAATTGTGAGATTGCCTTGATCCTGAGCAATCATCCCGATTTGAAGGAGATTGCCGATTCTTTTGGAATTCCATTTCATGTTTTCAAAGTCACCAAAGATACCAAAGCAGAAGTGGAAGCACAAGAGTTGGCACTACTCAAGGAACACGAGATTGATCTCGTCGTGCTGGCACGCTACATGCAGATCATTACTGATCAATTCTGTGAGGCATATCCTGTCATTAATATACATCACTCCTTCTTGCCCGCCTTTATTGGAGGAAAACCGTACCATCGAGCTCATGCCCGTGGTGTCAAACTGATTGGAGCCACAGCGCACTATGCCACGGCGGATCTCGATGAAGGACCCATTATCGAGCAGGTAAGTACCGTACCGGTGACTGGTACCATACTCTGCACGGTTGCATCACTCGACTAACTCCACTCGCTCGCCCTCTTATACTGTGTCGTCCGACAAATAAATGTACGTGATTCCGCTACGATGTAGGACATTGCGCGGATTTCGCACCGAGATGAAGTCAACGACTTGATTCGCAAGGGTCGACTCCTGGAAAAGAGTACATTGGTGACAGCCGTCAAGGCACACATCGAGGATCGGATCATTGTGTACAACAACAAGTGTGTCGTCTTTGATGGATAGATAGAAAGAAGATGGATAGGCAGATAGATAAACAGATGTTGTGCAGAATAGGTAGCTAACTACGGTACTATGTAGCTAGCTAGTCAGAAGAAGAATGTACAATCAAACGATGTGGTTAGACGGTGGTTCGTATTCGAACAAGGATCAGCCAGATGCAGAATCCCCAACATCCAAGGGCGTCTCCACAACACTGCCAAAGCAGGGATTTCGGCCACCGTATCGGCACTGCGCCAAACCAAAGGGCAACGTGAGCAAGGACCTGCAAAAAGGCAGCGCGGGCGGCATCGCGGCATCATCTATTCGGCCACAATCGCACGGCAGTAGAAATCGCGACCAGTCCCTCAAAGCCTTCCTTTACACACGTGTGATCCGACAGACCGATACTGGTAGCTGACCAGGAGAGTCTCCAGACCAGGGGAGGGTGCCTTGGTGCCTTCGTGGTTTCATTTTTTCCCCGGGCCCCGTTCTTTTGTAACCCTCTAATTAGGGATACTAGTACTCTATTTGTGACGTCGCCATCATTCCACACTTCAAGATTCTTGCCGTTTCTTCAAGTTCGTCTCTCGTTCTTCAATAAAAATCCTGTGGGAAGAGCACTCGAAAGGTTGACCATGACGCTTTGATATTGGGCCGCCGTCGCGACACAGCAATAGCAATAGCAACAAGGGAACGCCACGAAGTCCAGTTTGAAAACGAGATCGTTTTTGAAGTTAATCGTTTCAAAAAGACGAAGAAACCGAGGTGTCAAGAACGAAACCACTCTAGTTTTTGATTTCAAAAAGCGTCGCCCAAATGAAACCAAAAATGGACGAGGAGCCAATCAAAGCCAACAATTTTGAAACAAGATCGGGAGTTTCCTAGTTTGATTTCAAAAGCTATCGCTGAAGTGAAACGTTGCGCAGGTTTCGGCAGAGAAGAAACAATTTGCTTTCAGAAAAGGTCTTCTTTCGCTCGACCCACAATCTTCATTCTTCTTCCTCGCGAAAGCTATGCATGTTTTTCATCTCCTTCACTCTTCACACGAACTCTGACAATGATGCATCTACCTACGTCCTACCTTTCACACGTCCCGTCTTCCAATGCCAGGCCAGTAGACCATCTGATGGTGCCCCTGAGCAGCTCGCTGTCCCTTGCCTGTCTTGTCAGGCCCTGTTGGTGTTCCCTTCCG